GTACGTCGAATACCGCCGTACACTGTACGCCGTACCGTAGGTCCCCGGTGGATCCACGACCCAGTGACCCACGCTCCGGCTCCCGATCCGTGGCCCAGCCAGAGCGCCAGAGCGCCAAACAGCCAGACAACCCGCGGTGGGTTGTAAACGCACCCGGACACGACCACGGGCTGTATGCCTATATATTCCCCTGAACCCTCCCTCTGCTTTCCAAAATCTTTCCTGACTCTTCCTTCTCCCAATCTTTACCGAAGAATATTTCTTCTGCCTCTCGTTTTGCAACAACGTCGCTCTGGTACTTTCGGTCACTGTTTCTTCCCAATCCAATCGTTTTATAACAAAGGACCAACTTAATTCCCCAACTTTCAAAATGCATCTCTCCGTCGTTGCTGTTGCCGTTTCGGCTCTTGCCATGTCCGCCCAGGCCGCGGTTGTAAGTTAACTCGGCTCTACTGCCCATTCTCCCAATTCTCACGACCATAGATTGTCTCTTGAAGACGAGCGAAAGGACTGACCAATTGTTATAGGCTGATGGCGGCTATCCGGTTTCCTCTCCACCCCCTGAGCCATCCTACCCAGTTGAGTCCTCTTACTCCGCTGAGCCATCCAACTCGGCGCCTGGCTACCCGACCGGAAGCTATCCTATTTCTTCCGAGTCTGAGTATCCCACTGAGACCGCTGAGTCCACCGGCTATCCCACCCACGGGCATCCTTCTCCCAGCGACTATCCTACTGAAACTCCTCCCGCCTATCCCACCGGGGGCAATCCTACTCCCAGCGACTATCCTACTCAGTCCCCTCCCCACTCTGAGTATCCTACTCAGTCCCCTCCTGCCTCGGAGTACCCAACTCCGAGCTACCCGAACACCGTTCCTCCCTACCCAACCGGTCCTCCTCCCTCCAGCGCCCAACCCACTGGCACCGGTCGCTATCCTACCACCACTCCTCCCGCCCCAACTTACCCACCAGGTGAGGGCGCTGGTTTCTCCACTAGCGTTCCCTTCGGGCTTGGCCTTGCTGCTGCTCTCTTCGCTGCTTTCCTGTAAATGGAGCAACCATTGAAGATTTGCATGCGATGAACTTGAGAACCCCTTAACAATAATATTTCTTGTTCCTAATTAAGCCAACCTATTTAACAACGGGTGGAAAAACTGACAGCCCTGTCTTTTTGCTATTGGGCGGGCGGGGTGGCTTAATTGGCGAATCCACTTGTATTCATTTCTACTCTTTCCTCTGTATAGCAGATGCTTGGAAGGGCCTATCAGACCAGGGAATGCCGAGTATCCGTGGTCGGGACAAGTGATGACGTTTGACTCTACCGCAATACAGTGTTACACAATTTTTACCTTTTTAATCACAACCTGGTATCCAGCTGGCGTTCTGTTGAGTTGGACATGATCTCCGTTGTTATTCTGCCAAATACGACTTTTCCATAACCCTTATGTTTTTCTTTTTTGGATAGACTATGTTTATTCTTAGTATTCTTCACGTCCTCTAATAAGACTCATTACGACCCATTTAGATGAAAGTAAATCCGCCCATAAATACCAGTTGTAAAATGACACAACGTTATGTCTTTTTGTGTTATTGCTTGGATCATAGATGATACCCGGAATGCTCCGCTCCTGCTCGTTGGCAATGATCAATGTTCCCCCATTCATTTGTGCTCGACGCCTGGCAGAAAGTTCATCACGCCTTCCAAGTCACGCGTCCACGGGGGGTTTGTTGATGTGCACCATTCCTTATCGAGCCTAGCCGCTTTCCCTCTCTCATCGCGCATCTCAAAATCAGAGCAGATGTCGAATGACGATGCCCATAGTTGGTGTCTGTGTCTGTGTGTGTGTACGCTCTGCCTTCTTGGACACTTCGTTTCCTTGATTCCCAGCTCTGTCGCGTATCTGTGGTACCCGCGTCCCGGTCCGCGTTTGAACTCTAATCCCGGTTATCTCTCTCTATCTTCCTAGATTGGACCGGTATCCAGAGGGGACAACAGTACCACAATTTGCATAGAACGCAATTCAGCATGGTGAGCTTCCCATCAATGAACTATGAACTCAAACCATTGCTATATGACTCTAAAACGTCCCCCGAAATCCCCAAAAACCTAACGCAAAATTCTAGGCCTCCGGCTTTCGAAGGTTGGCATCAGACCATGCCTCTCTCCACAGAGACGGCATGCCGCCCCACTACCTCTTCTCCCCTGCAAACAACGCGTCTTCGCCATTTCCAGATGACCTCACTCAACTCGTTGTCCTTCTTACGGGTCCGCAGGGGACGCCGTACTCGCAGGGTCTCTGGGCGATTACATCTACGCATGCCTGAAGATTATCCCCAGAGCCCTCCCAAAAGCAGCGTTTAGGACACGGATATGGCACCCGAATGTCGACGAGTCGACGGGCGCGGTTTGTGTAGATACTCTTGAAGAAAGATTGGGACCCGAAGCTGACGTTGAGGGATGTTTGATCGTATGTTCTTTCTCTGCCCTTTTTAGTTTCCATCCGTTATTGCGGGGGGCGAATGGAGGA